TTAATACATTATTATACCATGTAAACTCAGTTGATATTCTCTTGCGATAATACTTATCATAAAGTTACATATCATAAAGCATATTTATAAACACGTAACACACATATAGATCTATCGAACTTTGTCGTACTGTGTTAATCATTAACTTTTTAACAGTATATTTCACGAAAGTCCTAGTTGCCAAGAATAAAATAGGGCATCTATATGTGACGAAAATAATAAAAAGTTTCAACATTGACAGCGAGCTGTCGAATAGCGTAAAAATATTTACTTGATATAAACAATCCACAGCTTGTAACAAAAGCTCCGTTCGCTCCGTATTAGGAAAATTTCAACGAACATTGTTGAATTTACAAACTCAAAGATATACGGAAAGTTTCTGAACAGATTTTTATGCATCAACTATCCCTTAATATCGCGACGTAATGATTTTCATATCGTCGCCCGACAGCCTCCTCTATCTCGCAAAAAGTCCTTAACTGCTGTGACGTACAGGCGAGAGGAAAAAACATTGTTGAATACGAGATAACTGCTATTTGGCGCGCGCGCGCACACACACATACATGCACACACACACACACACACACACACACACGCACGCACACGCACACGCACACGCACACGCACACGCACACGCACACGCACACGCACACACGTGCGCGCATATAAAACACATACAAACTACATATGCCGCACGTCGCACACACTCGCTGCCGGGCCCGTCACGCAGCCGTCGACCATCCGATAAAAAGTAAACTTTTCTGATCAATAGCGGGCTGCTCCCCTCCGCTTCGTCGCAGTGACGAAGTTTCGCTATCGATTCTGGAATTAACGTTGTTCTCGCGTGTCATTATCCGGCATCGGATGCATCACTCTCGACTTGTGCACTCCGGCAATTATGAAGCAGCCCTCGTTCCTCCCGTTCTTTTCGCCCAACTTTACTTCCTTCCCCGTTCCGTGATGGACGAAAAAGATTAAGCGCTGGCGCTTTCTCAAAGATTTATTCACCTCGAGAATCAACAACGCGATGCATTTAATATCCATGCGTGTCCACCAGAAGTTTCTCGCACAGGAAAACAACAGCGACGGCGTAAAAACTGTCGCGATATTATTCGACATTGACCGTCGCTGATTAATGAACGCTCAACATGCGCTAGAACGTCGCAAGTCGTCGCAAGCTCGGGCGCAAACTGCGCACAATTACCGGCTTACAGATACGAAATACATGCGTGCCTCCGGCGCATTTCGATCGCTCGCGTGTTAACGATGCTCTTGTTGTCGTTCTCATAATCACGCCACCTCCATTCCCCCCCTACCAACACAACATGTGTAATTTATGTAGAGCAATAAGAAGGGTATCCGGTACGTATCCGGTCATTAGTCATTGCTCATAAGTATGAAACGTACAAACGGTTGATATTGATGCAAACTCTCTCTAATTTGTGTATATAGATATATACATACATGCATGTATATGTATATAAATAAATATATAAATAAATATATATATATATATATAGGGTGCTAAATTTCAAACGTAACAGGTAAAAAATCTCGGAAACTATGAAAGATATTGAAAGATGCTAAATCACGTGTTCCATGATTTCGAAGGCGAAAGAGAATGGCATTATCAGTTTTTTATTTGGAGGACATTTTCAAGGTCAGTTGAAGATCAACTTAATTTTTTTAAAATAGAAAGCCCAATTTTTTATTATATCTTCTTTTTTTACCAATTAATTTTAACAACTTTTGTCTGAAACATTTTTTTATTTGCCTAATATACATTGATACATTAATATACATTTGCCTGTATATACATTAGAGATATGCGAACTATTCGAATTCGAATCAAATCGAATCGAATGTAATGTAATTCAATTTGATTCGAATCCGAATCCGTATGATTCAAATCCGAATAATATAAACAGGAATCAAATACATTATCGTTTACGTGCATCAGTTACAAAACGGGCTTGTGTGTTTGAACCCTTAACTTGCAATTAACTTAACTTATAATTAATAACTTTATTATAAATTATTTTACATTTTTAAATATATATTTTACTTTAAAATGATATTAATATTCCCTTTCATATTAAAATCTTCCATCATTATTTGCATGTTTAATAGTCATGTTAAATTTTTTAATGAACCGATTCGATTTCATTCAATTCGATTTGAATTCGAGCGAAATTTATAGATTCGATTCGATTCGAATTCGAATTTAAAAAATGAGATTCGATTCGATTCGACTCGACATAAAAATTCTTGATTCGCACATCTCTAATATACATATATATATATATATATATATATATATATAATTTGTACACAAATATAATGTATATAAATATAATGTGCCAATATAAATATACATATAAAACACGAAGTGTCCCGGATCTTCCGGAAATGAAAAATTGTGAAGATTAATCACATCAAAATGAAAAGAAAAGTCAACCATTTGCAAAAGTCGCAACAGTTATTAAGTTGTTAATGATTGAAACTGACCACATTTAGAAACTCTTTTAATTAATAACTTGAATATTTGCGTACTCATTTGCAAAATGGTAAAAGACTTTTTTGTTAAGAATGACCAAATCTACAATTATATGACATGCTATTGTATTTAGCGACAGATTCAAGATTCAGGGTTCAAAGTTCAATATACTGATATCTATCGTCAGATACAATAGCCGTCATATAATTGTAGATTACGACAATCTAAAGAAAAAGAGTTCTTTAAATAATATTGGGGACTTGAATAAGTTCTCGTTGTTTTTTCGTGAAAATGAATGCTTTATTTAAAAAAATTAGTAAAGAACATGTCATTGAAAGTATTGTCCATCGCTAGCCACTACTTTCTCCCATCTTTCTGGCAGCATACGAATACCATGTCGAAAGAGCGACTCATCTTTTGAGGTTATTCACGAATCGACTCATTTTTTGGCATCTTCATAAGAATGGAAGTGCTGCTCAGCCAGGCCATGAGTCATCGATCGGAACAAGTGGTAATCGGAAGGAGCAATGTCCGGTGAATACGGCGGGTGAGGTAGGACTTCTCATTTGAGCGTTTCCAAGTAGGTTTTGACCGATTTTGCAACATGTGGCCGAGCGTTGTTATGCTGCAGAATTACTTTGTCGTATCTCTCTTCGTATTGCGGCCGTTTTTACTTCAATGCTCGGCTCAAACGCATCAATTGTAGTCGATAACGATCTCCCGTGATGATTTCGTTGGATTTGAGGAGCTCATAATATACTACACCTAGCTGATCCCACCAAATACAGAACATGAGCTTGGAACTATGGATATTCGGCTTTGCCATCAATATTGATGCATGGCCGGGCTTATCCCACAATTTTCTACGCTTAGGGTTATCGTAGTGTATCCACTTTTCATCGCCAGTTACGATGCAAAAAACCTTTCCTTTTCTGCCGTTGGAGCAGCTGTTCACACGTGAAAAAACACCGTTCGACGTCTCTCGGCTTCAGTTCGTACGGCATCCAATTTCCTTACTTTTGAATCATTCCTAATGCTTCTAAACGTTTGGCAACTGTTGTGTGATCAACTCCTAATGATTCTGTAAGTTCATTTTGCGTCTAACATGGGTCTTCATCGAATAATACTTCCAATTCTTCGTCTTCAAACTTTTTCGGTGCGCCAGAGCGTTCTTTATCTTCAACATCAAAATCATTATTTTTAAAGCGTCTAAACCAATCTCTGCATATTGTTTCCGACAGAGCATGGTCGCCGTAAGTCTCCACAAGAATTCTATGTGCTTCAGCTGCAGATTTTTTTTTTTAAAAGTAATGCAGTAAAATTCCCCGCAAATACTCTTTTTTTGGCACGAAATTTGACATGTTTAATGCTATAAAAAAATATGTTGTTTACGCTTCGGCGGAATAACATATACTGTCACTTCGAGCCTAATGGTGGAGCTTCACGATGAAGTTGGCCGATGCAAAAAGGCTAAGATAACACCATCTGTCGGGAAACAGCGAGAACTTATTCAAGTCCCCAATATAAAATTTTTAAATAATATAAAAATATATATCTATATATCCTTCATATATATACATATATATTTATAATTATATATATTTTATTTATATATATATTTTTTTATTTTTTATATAAATTTATATACTTATATATGTTTTTTTATTTTAATTAAATATATGATCAATGCACGTGTGCTTACACGTACGGCAGCGTATGGATTAAACGCGATGGGAAAGTTTTTAATCTGTCTATTTGGGAGTGGGGGAAGTGGGCAGAGAACCGAAAATGAGAAACATGACGAATGATGCATGACGGACATGAGAGACGTCGAAACGAAAATTCGAAGGAAGGAAATATAATGTTTCACATATAACACATATATATCGCGAGACAATTTTTTGGTGAGAAAAAACAGGGGGTAGGGGGAAAATTCGGATATATCCTAATAAAACGGCATATATGTCCATAGCGAAAAAGAGGAGAAAGGGAAGGAAGAAAAGGACTGAAATGGCGGTGTCGTGAAGATTAAATCGTTCGGGTGCATACTCGATTACGCCTGCATAATCGATACTACATCATAGCTCTATAAAAGCGGAACTTTATAATTAGCTAATGTCGCTCGTGTATCAGGATAATCCTTTAATATCCGTTATACGAGGTATTCTGAGAGCTTCGATTAAACTAGCCGCGTCGTACTTATTTTCTTCTGTGCTTCTTTCGATATTACATCTCTTGTTCCTCTATCTTCTGCCCTCCCCCCCTCTCGCTCTGTCACCTTTTCCTCCTCCATTGCTCGTAAAAAGTTTTATCAGGCTCGAGAGTTTTGCTTAAAACGCCGGAGTAAATTGAACCGTACATATTAGACGATATTTAATGTTGAATGTTTCAAATATGCCCCGTACACTTTCATTGAATGATCGTCATATACTTTCCCCGCGTTGACATTGCTATTAAGTGAAATCGTTATATCACTAAATGGAGTATTTTTCTAATCTTTCAGCTTGCAACGTATGGAATGACGTCACACCACGAAAATATCGGCCACCACGCATCGGCGATATCCCAAAGTAAGTAACTTTCATATAGATAGACAACATAGAAATTCCTGGCATAATCGTCCGCGTGGAATTTTTTTGGGATCTAAGCGAGATTCAGCCAAATTTCTTAAAATTACACGGAGAAAATCCAGTGATAAAAATTTCTTTAAAAACGTTCCTCTTCACAATATTTTTTTTAAAGCTGGATTATGCTTACATTGTAACATAAATTACTGCAGAAATAATAAATTTGACGAACAACTAAATATACGATATACATCATTATAACTGTAATGCAATTATAGAAATTGTTCGATCGATAAAATAACTTGTTGCACAATTTAAACTATACAGTCTGCATTCGTATTTTGCAGAAATAAATGACAATGATTCAACCACATCTTAATTACCTTTTGATGGAAATCATTCTAGGTTATAGTAGACGAAAAAATGGATTCCCTGTATTAATGATCTCTAATTGCGTGTAATGAAGGCGGGTAATTATTTAATCGATTTCTCAGACCGATTGCACGTACAATTTGTAAAGTAACGATTAAAATTTAACTTGGGAGGATGGGTATCAAAGGAGTTATCTAGGAGGCGCTTAAAAAGAAAGTCAATGGTAATTCCAAATTCCAAACTATGAGTAATGCTATAAGAATATCGTCATCTTTGACATGTATATATTTTAAATCAAGCAGTAAATGTGTTAAAATCACGAGTATAAATAATAATATATTGTTTATCCGAGTTACATCTCAAATCTTACTATAATTGTATACAGTAATTTTTGTTACGGATATATTGGGTCTGGAAAAAAGTTCGTGGCGTTTTTTTAGTAAAATTCAACTGGTTTTCTTATAATGTGAAAATGAATTTATTTAAACCAAATATGCTCCATTATTATCGACAATGTTTCGCCATTTTTCGGGTAGAGCCATGATGCCATCGGTGAAGAACTTCTGTGGTTTCTGGTTGAAAAACTGAATCAAGTGGTTTTCACAGGCTTTTTTTGAAACCAGCTTAATTCCATTGAGAGAGTTCTGCAGATATCGGAACAAGTGATAGTCAGAGCGTGCTATGTCTGGACTATACGGTGGATGCATCAAAACCTTCCCAACCAAGCTCTCGCAATTTTTGACGGGTCATCAAAGAAGTGTGTGGTCGGGCGTTGTCATGATGGAAGACAACACCTTTCCTATTATTCAATTCGGGCCGTTTTCTTTCAATTGTCTGGCGTAATCTCTCTAGTTGTCCACAGTAGAGTTGAGAATCAATCGTCTGACCAACTGGAAGTAGCTCGTGGTGGACGATTCCATTCCAGTCCCACCACAAACACAGCATCACCTTTTTCGGCATCAATCCTGGCTTCGCGAATGCTTATGACGGCTCACCTTCCCTTGTCCACGATCTTTGACGCTTCCGATTGTCGTACGTGATCCATTTTTCATCACCGGTTATGACACGTTTCAGAAATGGCTCGATTTCATTGCGTTTCAGCAGCACATCGCAGATGTTAGTTCGGTCTATCATGTTTTTCGCGCTCAACTCATGAGGAACCCATACATCGAGCTTCTTTTTGTAGCCAGCTTTGTGTAAATGGTTCAAAACAGTTCTGTGGTCAATGCCTAGCTTCATACCAATATCGACACTGCTGATATGCTTATCTTGCTGGACTTTTTCAAGAATTTCATCAGCTTTTTCAGTGATTGGACGACCAGAGCGTGACTCATCTTTCACATCAAAATTACCAGAACGAAAGCGAGCGAACTATTTCCGCGCAGCAGATTTTGATAAAGTACCTTCATCGTACACAGTACAAATTTTTTCACAAGCCTGCGCAGCGTTCTTCCCTTTGTCGTAATAATATTGCAAAATATAGCGCAATTTTTCATTACTTTTCTCTATTTTCAAACGCAAATAACTTTCCAACCACTGCAATTTCGATGTTTATACACTCAAAGTAACGCTCGAAGTCTCACCTTTCCAACGAGCGTTTAGTGGTGTCGCTGCAATCTGTGTTTCCTGAGTTATTTGCAATTGACGCCATCTATCGGGAAAAACGCCACGAACTTTTTCCTAGACTCAATATTACCAGATGTGATTGCACAAAATTGGAAAATTTCTTTTTTATCGTAATTGCGAGCGAAATTCAGTGACTCATAAGAGACAAAAGAAGAAGAATAGGCGGAGACTAAGAGAGAGAAAGAGAGAAAGAGAGAGAGAGAGAGAGAGAGAGAGAGAGAGAGAGAGAGGAAGGTGGGGAGGGGGCGGGATGAATCAGAGAGATTCGATTTGTGTAAAAAAAATCACCTCCATCAATTTTCAACTTGATCGTGTCGTTCCATTGTTGTTGCGACGACAGCGCGAAGCCTCTTATTTCGTTTTGCGTCTCGTATATGCTGCTCGTATATATAGTTAAACGTCTCACTGTTGCACACACACACATGCGCGCACGCGCGCACATACACACACATAGCACATGCACAGCTGTTTGTACGCAGTATATCGCAAATCGGGCCGTTATCGCGCGTCGCTTAATAGCTGAATAAAAGAAATACGCGAGAGAAAGAAGGGGAAAGAGAGAACGAGAGAGACAGAGAGGCGGAAAAACAGCTCGTCCGTTTAAAGAGGGGAATAATGCGTTGTGATGGCGATGCACTCGCTTACGCAAACGCTGCGATATAAATGCAAATGCGTTTAATCGAGCAAATACGTCCGCACACGCGCATAATATGATGGATGAAGCACGGCCTAGCCGTGACAGAGAAGGAGATGAACTATGCAGCTTCCATTCTTACGTTGTTGACGTTTACGCATCCTGCCGGAAGATCTAGTCGATCTTTCGCACCTCGAACAGGGCGTTCGCCGGCTGCAGGAGAGCAGCAGGAGAGACGGGTACATGTTAAACAATGGTTTCAATTAATACCTCATCGATCAATGTTGCAGATGTATATAATCCGCATCTGGATGGGACCCGAAGCGAACAGCTCGGAAATTCGGCTGCGCGAGTCTAAAAGAGACCGATTGGCCCACTTATTTCACTGGGGGGGACGGCGCTTTTATTTGAATATAATTTAATTCGAACAGTCTCGATTAAGTGGCACACGAGGCGGACACGAGGAAGTTTTCCAATCGCTTCCGTTGCGTTCGTTCGACAAACGCGTACGTCGATATATCGTATATTTAAAAAGCATATCGCAATTTCCATATAATCTTTTTGCTTCATATTATTATTCCCCGGGGTATTTTTTATTGCATGCCGCGTATCTCGTTATTTCAATTTCCCCATTTCGAGAGATAATAATTGCATCATGCGTGTTTCGCTTCCATTCCTCTTTTTTATTCTTTCTTTTTCTATTCTTTTTTCCTTCTTTCTCTGAAAAATTGGATTTGGGATCGCTTTTTTCTGGAGAGAAGCAATTTTTGCCGAGAGGATGTTGTATTTATACACGATCCGAAATTACCAAATTCAAAATAAAATGTAATCGCAAACAATTGTAATGTTACTAAAGAACGTACCCATAGACAATGAGGTTGCCCTAGTTTTCATCCTTCCTCTCTCTCTCTCTCTCTCTCTCTCTCTCTCTCTTTTGCTCACCTCGTTTCTCCTTTTTCTCTCTTTTTCGCACGCGCATTTCAATTTTCCGTTTTCAATTTTCAAATTTTCAATTTTCCGGCGTAAAATAGAATGATTTGATCGTTCCGTTAATACACACAAAGCAAAAAAATGTGTTTAAAAAAGTATATCTTGATTGTTTGAACGTGGCTGTCGATCGTTGTCGAAAATCTGTTCAATTCGAAAATTAATATCGTATCTGTAAAATTTGTAAAATGCATTGGATATGATAATAATGCAATAATACCATACGCTGGTATATTGCAAAACGGCAAAGGATCCGATGACTGATTTATTTATATCAGTATTCCACTTTTACCGTGTTATTTTTTAATGATAGACTCTTCGTTTGAAGCTGAGATTTCGATCAGAGCGAAGACGTCGAGATACAGATAATTCTTGAATTATAAGCGACTGCAATAGAAGGGCTCCTAACAAACTGGTTTTCTGCAAGCCAAGTGAATAGCGAAATTATAATTGTACGTTCTGAAATAAATTTCAGAAGTTTGTTTCAGTAAAATTTTCACTTCGTACTTAGTTGCAAAGATACACAATTTCAAAGACCGAACGATCGAAGAAAACGATTACGTGCACGTGACGAATTTTCGTTGGGAAAGAATCGTCTCCAAATTATCTTCAGAGAATCTATTGTCATGAAATAATACGGAAGGGAGACAATGTACTTGTATATATTGTACTTGTATATATTGAAAAAATTTGTATTCGCGTAACGAAATGGAGAGATAAAAAATCGGTAAAGTTAAATTACAGATATTTCTCTGATTATCGTAACCGAAATTATTCGTCTGCACATGCAGCTATGTTAAAATTTGGAATATAATCGTACTAAACAGTGATGACGTTACAATCGCTTACATGGTTATATTTTATTCAGGAATCAATAACTCAGGAGTGATGTTGTACTCAGATAATTTTGAAATTAGCTAGATGAGAGGAAAAGATAAAGTATGTAAATTCCTTTCAGCGCTTTATCCTCATTACAGACAAGTTCCAATGCAACCTCGGTCTCAATGCCATCTGATACGTGTAATATTGACGTAAACATGTACGCCGTAAGAACAAATATTTCAATATTTTTCATATTTATAGCGATTGTAAGCTAAATTATCCGTGAACGTCATCTTACAAAGAAACCTACGGAAGTGTCCTCCTTTGATTCCAAAAAGCCAAGAATATGTTGTGATTTAAATCAAAATAGGAGTGTTTTTTATACGTGCACGTATTTTTTTATACGTACCTGTATGGCTTTTTAGGAGGTGAAATAATCCTTTTGAAAAAAAAAATCGTTTTTTTTCTCGGAGCATATTTCATCAAAAACTAGTATATGAAATAAAAAATATTTTCCAAATAAAAATTGTAACTTGATTTTAAGAATTAATGATGTTTTCGA